GATGATAAAGATCAATTTTTTTTTTTTTTAATTATTTTAACCCTTTTAGTACCAGGCGAAAAACCGGTGTCTACGCGAGAATAACCGGACGAATTTGACGAATTTTACAAGGGGCTGGGAAAAAGGTCATAAAAACCAAACTAAAAATGATAATTGTACATAATTCGAAAAACAACGTATTACGGAAGGAAGAGATAATAATGTAATGCTAATTGTATTTCAACATTTATTTTGAGATAGAGCTTTCTCGCGATGCGAAGAATAAGGTGCCATCGCATACGCAACGATACATCGTCGCCCGGCACTTTTCGCGAGTGTAGCGAACGACGATATATCGTTGTCCGGCACTAAAAGGGTTAATCGACGGAAATATTGGGGAGCGGGAGGAGAGGGGAATCCCCGTAATGATTTTACGTCGCGATGACAGTATCGATATGATAATGCTAAGGAGAGAGCAAGTAATAATTAAAACATATTGTAATGTTGATTGATTTGTTTCTATGCGAATAAGTACCTGAAATAATTGCTTTATCATAAGTAAGCAAGGATAGGTAGGCACAATGTTAATTAGGAGTTAAGTGATATGTAATATACAAAAAAAAAAAAAAATGTTTTTTTTTTGCACAATAATATTATGTATATCCATAGACGTTTTTTTTTTTTTATTTTATACATTTTATGTGTATCCCTATTAGCAATTTTTTAAAAAATCTGGTAAGTACAGGTATCGATTGTTAACGGTTCTAGGGGAATTTTTTTCAATACGGGTTCACAGTATGGATACTATGGTAACCACGATATATCTGTAGGTATGTCTGTATATATGTATATATACCACAGATTTAAATACCCTTTGGTATGCCGTTAGTGGTACGCTACATGAAAACAAATTTCTCCACATTATGCGCCTCCGGCATGAAAGCAATGCAAACGACCTTAAACCTTAACACTGTGCTAAAAATGTATTCTGCCATGACACCGACCAAACCCTTCGTATCTTTATGATGGTTATTACGCTGTCCGTGTAGCGGTCAACTAAAGGAGTATTTCGATGAGTCGTCCCGCGACCACAGGTAAAACCTGTTACCAAGCTATCCGAAAAATCGTCCAAAACAAAGATACGTGACTATGAGGTAAAAAAGTGCATTAAAAAAAAAAGAAAAAGTTAAGAACCTTATCTAACCGTTAAAAAGGTTTGCAACGTCAGTTTCTCACGCGAATGTTCGATAAAATTTTTACATTTCATTATGATACAAAACAGCGAGGAATTTTTATTTATTTCGCTGCGTCGTTCCGTCATGAAACTTTACTTGAGGAATGAATATTTATGAGACACTTCGATAATTTAATTAGACTTTATCGTGTTTATAGATTTGAGACCGATTTCGGCCTAGGTTGTTCTGTCAATCAATTTAATGGTCGCGTGTCGATTTTTGATAAGCCGCTATCTGGGTTACGATCGATGACTCGTGTATTGGCCGTAAGAATAAAAAATTTATTTAGCAAAAAATCAATGGTTTTAATTAATCCAAATATCTCGTCATCGTTTACCATCGTTCTTACCGAACATTCTTACAACGTAGGAAATGAATACCGAAATTCAAATGCACTCCGCGTACGACTAGGAACAGTCGGGATATGCCAGTGCGCATGTGAGGATATAAGTGGGTGGGTTTTTTTGATCGTGTGGGTATGTCGACCTTGAGGGGCCACTGGCCCTAGCATATTACTTATCTCACGTTTGTATTTCGAGGGTCGGAGGCACTTCCCACATTGAGATGATCTTACGGCAAGAGACCCCACTTCTCAATTGTCATTGCTGACAATAGTTTCTTTAGTGACCATAAACTATCATGTACTACCGGTGTGACGCTCTATGAATCTATGATAGGGTCGCTTAAGTGGTCGACTGAATGAGTAGCTAATGAAATTAAAAAAAAAAATTAAAATTAATTGCTCGACCGATCAATCCATACTAACGGTAACGTACTCGTGCGAAATGCAAATTTGCGAAATTGAGTCGCAAAAAGTCACGTGACTCGTGGACTAATGACGAAATTATCAAAAGATACTATACACTCTTTTACGTACTCGAGGACGCCTCGAGAACATCTGGATTCTTCTGACACTTGTTTTGGGTTAAATACTTGAAATGTTTTTCTATGAGATGGGGAATATATGATAATTTAATTGATAATCAATTTGATGCTTGGAAGGTATTTAGAAAATTTTTTTTCGTTATTGATACTTATCGCGGTATACAGAAGCACGGAACGAGTTTGATGATAACTGTGGTAACTGATAGTGGTTCTTGTTTATGTTTTATTAAGGTGGTTAAAGGTGCCATCGTTTCTAAAAGAACGAAAGTACAGATATTCAGTGCGAATTGTACACAGATGGAACTACGCGAGACCCTTTGATCTGTTATTATAGTGACGTAATGAAAATTATTATATCTGATATAAATAAATCTGATATCATCATTGGCCACTGTTCCAATGATGTCAAAAAGAGATAAAAAAATTATTAACTTAGCTGCATAAATTATGGATAAATTACACAGCGTGTCGATATTATCGAGTGGGTGAGATCGATTTATTGGAGCGACCGGTTCAGGTTTATGATTCATTAATATCGTTGGAGGTGTCAGTGCTCCCAAAAATATGTCATCTTTCGATTTGATTTTGTTCCGTTGTCATATTTCATACAATCCGCCACTTTGGAGCAAGTATTTAAGATCCGTTAGGCATCTTCGTTGAATTATTATCAATTTTATGGGTGTAGCTTGTTACGAGTCGGCGAAAAATGTTACGCTCATTAATTCTAAATAGTTTTTTAAATCTATAAGTATAGATTTGACGCGAGTGATGATGAAAGAGATAAAAATATTATTACGAGTAGCCCCTTACCTCACTAAATGCTCCAGCATGGTTAGTTCTGGGCGTTGTACTCGATGGAATTTGGTAATCGGTGATCTGTCATAATTCAGTTCACGTTTTGGAAGTCAAAAGTTGACAAGTCATCTATTAATGTATTTGGAATATTCGTAATCGATATTTCACGGTTCGGTAACAATGAAAGAAATATTACATTCGTCGAGTCGATCCCGACGATGTAAACTGACGAATCCTTTTTTTCGAGACCACACTGTATTATTGTACTATACATAAATTGTCAGTGTGAACGGATCTTTATTCTAAGAACAATAGCGCAGACATTACCATATTCTTAATATAAATGACTACACCACATCGAGCTAGTATATAATTTCCGTAGTCAAGATAAAATGGAGGAAAATGGCCACTAGAAAATATCTCCAAAGTACATAAATCTGTTAACGTTTATACTTGTGTCAGGGTTAGGCGTCGATGGTAAACTATTAATTAACATCGAGTAACAAGTAGGCAGAGTCAGAGGAGCAAAGGTAAAATTGGATCCAGATAGCTTGTCCAAGTGGAATGCAATAAGTGGATATTCTCCTCGATCGAAACCCCACGAAAGAGTGGCATACTGTCGGACCTGACGTTCCTCAAGCAACAAACCACCCTTCGGTTGGAGATTGGACTGGAGAGTCGGAACCGGTTGGAATATTTCGGTAGGTAGAAGAAGAGAATGATCCACAGGATGATTGCGCTCGCGGCTGTGTGTGATTTGAAATTCGCATAGGTGCACGAAGTGGATGAATGGGTATTGGAATCGCGGGTTCATCGGCCACGACGGCGAGCGTCGGTCCCAAGCGGATGAGCCCTTATCCCGCAGGGCCCAAAGCCACCAAGAAAAGATTTGAGAAGTCGCGAATGAGTATTTTCGGCGCGGATGAGTCCGGTTTTACGGGTTGTTGCTCTCTTTATCGATTATCTCCGCTTGCAGCACCATTGCTGGCGACACGATATTAGCCGTGCGAGTGAATACGTCGAAGCGAGAGAAGACGCGAACTGAAATCCTTCCCCTACCCTGGGCATCCCTCACCAACCAGTAGTACAGTCCATCCCGGCAGCGTTTACCTTGACGAGTCGTTGACTCCTGGATCACGCATCCCATACGGAGTAGAGACTCGTGTAATTCCTATGAGGACTGTATCCATCTCACTTGTATCCCTGGCGCCTAAGGTTCTCCATGAGCTATAGATGATCTCCCGTGGGGCCCATGGTGGGATCTCCTGATGCGCAACTGTTACCCCGTTTCGCTGGCTAACAGCACCCGGACAAGTTCAGGGCCAAGTTCTCTGCAACCTCCTTCAGGCCAACCAAGGCCAACCGATTACTTCGTGCTCTCTATGCTAATGCGCGAGCGAGTGACATTAAGAGCGATCTGCCAAATCGAAGATCGGACACGCCTAACCCATGCCAAACCCAGAAAGCTGATCCTGGTGCCCGTTAGGAAGGCTAACAACGCTACCGGACTCGCTCGGGGTTAATCGCATTCGCCTCTTACAGGCATTTGCATATCGCACGGTAATAAAGAATCCTCCGGAGATACATCCACGTGTGATAATTGTATGACAAGAGGCTGGACATCCCCATCAAGATCATGTCCCGGGTTGATGCGGATGGATGGACCAGTTGTAAGGAAAGATCAATGCTTCGATGTGTCTCGAGTAGAAGATGTAGATCGCCGGTGGAGCTAAAGAAAGAAGAAGAACGCGTCCCGGGTGAACCTGACGGGGGCAGCCGGAGCGCCGAGAGGAGGGCGAGCCCGTTATAAGCTCGGGTCCCGGCTATTCAGCAGCTTAGCAGCGTAGTGGCGTCGTAAGAGAGACACCCGGGACCTAATTCCAATCCAGCTGGTTTATTTATCTGTGGCCTTGGGTTGCACCTGTAATCGTGCGCCCGGATATCCTCGTGGGTCGGATATGCTTCGAAGAGGCGCGCCGATGAGCTGGGTCCTCGCTGCTCTTCTTCTCTTGTTCGGTTCATCATTGATTGCTAATGCCGACAGTAGTCGATCAGGGGGCGATCGTGTACTCGAGGACAGCGTGACTGTTGAAGGTGAGTTCATGATGGTTCTGTATTCGGTCAACGGAAGTCCCCAGGACGTGTCGCGTGTATTGTGTGTATAAGCTCGGTCAGCGAACTCGTGCGCAAACGTTAATGTCCGCCTACAAGCGCGCAGCAGCATCTTATTATTTAGCGTGCGCTGCGTGCTGGTATACCCGGTGAGTCCAGATTTCTAAGTAGTAAACAAAGCAACGTGTGCTTATGGTTTAGAACGTAAAATCAGTTTCCTTTCATGGTTACATAACATTGGATTAGAATTCAAAATAATTACCGTCGAAACGCTGGACGATTATCATGAATGACAGTTCCAGAAATTTCTTATTTTCTTAATAGAAAATCGGTTCCAATCGGTCAACGTACGGATTTCGGTCCGGTATTGTTAATTAGAATGTGAGTCAGTTCGACGTCGGGTCCTACTTTCTCGCCTTGAACTACAGTAGAAAGCATCGTGTGTCATTCGAGACTCAAATATTAATGGCAGCTCCGGTGATCTTGAATACAGCAGCCACTGATCCGGAGCTTCCTACTGCGACGAGGGAAGCTCGCAATATCTTTTGGGCCAAGGCTGGAGGAGGTGGTCCTTGCTTGACTTCAAAGGGTGAAGTCGGAAAATGCGCCACCTTCAAGGAGTGTTATCCTTACTTCAAAATTCCTGATCTTGGGGCTCTCGATGGATGGGTTCTTGGGGTCTATGACACCTGCAGTTATATTCGTGACGATGGCCGTATGGGCTTTGGAGTATGTTGCTCCAATACCATTCCTCTCGTTACTCCTGCATCTCCAGGAGGCGAAGATCCTGTAGTCGAAGAACCAGAGGTAATTAGAACTATAAACTGAGCTTTCATAAATTTCATCATTAATTATAATACAGCTTGGCTCAGAAGGTATAATAACCGCAAGACAATACCGACTGGCAAAGGTAATAAATTCAGCATAGAAAGCGGACTGTAAATAATGTTCACCCAGTGATCCAATTGCGTAAACACTGTCGTTATTGCTGCTTTTTTTTATATTGACTGAAAAAGCATTGTGAAAATATTGCTATAGAGATTCTAACGGTAGCAGTAAATATTATTTATGATGTATTTCAGGAGGAAGATAATGCGGATAAGAACGTTGGTCCAGATTCAGCAAAACCAAGACCAAAACCGCCGTCTTGGCCACCTCCACTTCCTACTCATCCTCCAGATCATACTATACCGCCTTTGCCCACGCATGGCCCATTTCCTGGTTTCCCAACGATAACCACTCCAAAACCGATTTACTCCACTTCGAAGAAGCCTCCGGGTGCCACCACGTGGCCGACGAAAAAGCCTGGATGGTGGCCTGGTGCTACCAGTCCAGCTACAACGAGCAAGCCTCCTGTCACTGCAGCTCCTGGGGTCACTTATGCAGAGTGCGGTGCGAAAAATGGTAACCAGGACCAGGAACGTATCGTTGGTGGACATAACGCTGATCCTGGTGAATGGCCATGGATCGCGGCGCTCTTCAATGCTGGACGACAGTTCTGCGGTGGATCTCTTATCGACAACATACACATCCTTTCGGCGGCTCATTGTGTCGCTCAGTAAGTCCTGGGTTATAGATGATCTTAGTCTCTTCTGTAAAAATCCTTATGCGTTATTATACTTCTTTGTAGTATGAATTCTTGGGACGTTGCCCGATTGACGGTGCGTCTTGGTGATTACAATATCAAAACAAATAACGAGGTCCGCCATATTGAAAGACGCGTGAAACGCGTCGTCCGACACAGAGGTTTTGATTCCCGCACCCTGTACAACGACGTGGCTATACTTACTTTGGACCAACCGGTAGACTTTACCGAGCAAATTCGTCCTGTTTGCCTACCTACTGGTTCTCAACTATATTCAGGAAAAACAGCTACAGTCATCGGTTGGGGTTCACTTAGAGAAAGTGAGTAGCCATTACTCAATTAACTATATATATTGTTATTAAGATCGTCTAGCGACTTCATAAAAATTAATTATATATCTTTTATCATAAGGCGGACCGCAACCTGCAGTACTTCAGGAAGTCTCAATTCCCGTATGGACAAATAGTGAGTGCAAGATTAAATATGGCAGTGACGCTCCTGGTGGTATCGTAGACAGTTTTTTATGTGCAGGAAGAGCATCCAAGGATTCCTGTTCCGTTAGTATATAGAAAATATAAAAATAGAAATCATTGATTATCTTCATAACGGTATATTTTTCCACAGGGTGACAGTGGCGGTCCTTTAATGGTAAATGATGGAAGATGGACTCAAGTTGGTATAGTGAGCTGGGGTATTGGATGTGGCAAAGGGCAATACCCAGGTGTTTACACGAGAGTCACGCACTTCCTGCCTTGGATTAACAAGAATCTCAAGTAACTGGATAGGGCGGCAACACTCTATGGGAGGAGTGACAGTAGGTTGCTCTTAATGGCAACAAAATTACCTATTTCCTGCCTTTTTTCATTCAACGCTCGTATGTCTTGGAAAGTCATTTGATCGCGCGATCGATTGACAGTAATCGTTGATCTTTCGAGATAAAAACGAGCCTTAGGCAATATCCCTAACCGCATGTTATCATTGAATAATGATAAGAACAAGGCTTCTTCAAGTCCTAAACTATATGTAATAAGGGAATGTGCTATAAATCACGAAGACTCTTGATGTATTAATCGACATGAGATGAAATCTCGTCACGGCTATATCTTTTGTTCCTTGATACCTTGAACGAGGTTGTCAGGCAGAGGAATAAAAAAAATATGCTCGGAAGTAATTCCAGCAGCGCTTTGGTTCTACCTGGTATCAAGTATTAAGACATAACGCATTATTAGCGATAGTCGAATCCGTCCTAAATACTCCGTGGTATATGTAGTGAGACGCGTTATTACAATTCGTAACAAATTATTTCATATTTACTATACATACGCACGTATATAAAAAAATAATAAAATTATACAATCGTATGAGTTACTTTACTATGGCTGTCCCCAGTCGCCGTCGCTGCTACGAGCTCATCACATTGACTCACGGTTAAGCCAGGACTATGTATCACAGTTGCTCACGTTTAGATGCTGCATTATGTTTCGTGCTGAAAAAATAAGTACCGTATGATTAAGTAATTCCAGAAAGCTTCATTACAAGATAATTTGATAATTAAAAAAGTCGAGTATACCTTGAAAGTAACATGTATCAAAATTGTCGTCTGGTTGTGGGATAAAAGGTGGTATTGCTTTTTGTGGTTCGTCCCAGGGAAAACCATTAAAAAGTGCCATATGGCGCACTTGATTTGCTGAAGGTCGTGCAGATGGGTCTAAGGTCAGGAGAGCATCAATGGCCTCGTTGGCAGATTTTGAAAGCGCTTCATCACCTTCTGGCCAGGGAACGTCTCTTGCTAATATATTCGCGAACACCGCCTGCGGCGTTTCGTCATTAAATGGTGGAACTCCAGTGCAAAATTCAAAGAGGCAGACGCCAAGAGCCCACCAATCAACCGCCGGACCATGACCCTGGCGAAGCAGCAACTCCGGAGCAAGGTAATCTGGAGTGCCCAGGATTCTATCGTCTGACCGAAGCATACCTCCTTGGGCCCCTCTTCGCACTGACTTTGGAGTTCTGTAGGGAGTATAGCTGTGGTTGTCAGAAGTGGCAGGAGTCTTTATAGGAGAAATGCCTTGAGGTGAATTACGTCCTCCAGTGATATTATGCGGATGTAGATCAGGTGCTGAGTGTGAAGTACAAGGTGGTGGTAATTCAAATCTGGTTGCTTTAATTAAGAGTGGTTTTTCATGATGTTGTTGATGTTTCTGATTTTCCTCTTTTCGATTTCGTCGCTTCATAGACGATACAGGTGTACTAAACGCAACTCCGACACCGGAACCACCTTCTTGAGATGTAACGTTATTTTCAGTAATCTCCGTTTTGGTCGTGACTGGATTATCCGTTGATGGTACCGGACTTCTGCAAGAAAATATCGCTGGTCCACGATTTTTCCTTTTTGGTGTAAGGTCACCGTCTAATTCCATAAGATGTATCTCACGCGTTAATCCAGTCGAGGCTGCCATGGCTGCGCGTTTTCTCTTGGTTCCTCTTGAGTAAGAATTAACGCAGCTGCTCAAAGGACTCGTATGAGGAAGTGGATGATGAGAATTTTCTGCCTCTAATGTGGATTCATCCTCCTCCTCACCTTTCTCACCATTCACCGTCTGACTAGTCACAATCAATTTTTCTGTACTCTTACTGGACTGAGAGAGAGATGAAGTTTCGCATGTATGAAAACTACTGGAACTGCTATAATCTTCTTCAGGGTTACTTTTTTTTGAGTAACATTCATCCTCCGAGAAGGCACACATTCGTAGATCCTCCGCCGATTGGAATGGTGTCACACCCGATACTCTCGAATAATCAGCTGATGTTGCAACAGATGACACAATTGAACTTGAGGAACTGCTTATCTTTTTGGAATTTTCTCTTAGCGCTGAGAGTAAATTTGCAGCAGGGTTGCTTACATCACTGCAATCCAGAAGATTCAATTCCGATGAGGACTTTTGACCAGACCCAAAAGATAGATGTGATGTCAGAGATAGAAGCTGACCTGGAGTTCTCGCACATAGACTCGGTGTACAGTTCACTAGATCAGATATTTCCAAATCTCGGTGTAACGTAGATATCCTGCTAAGGCCAAAATCTGTGAGCTTTACATGTCCCTCTCGCGAAAGAAGCATATTGTCTGGCTTTAGATCTCTGTGTACTATGCCATGGGAATGAAGATACTGTAATGCTAAAGACACTTCAGCTGTGTAAAAAGCTGCCATAGACTCTTCCATGTAACCATACATTCCAACTAGACTTTTCAGATCACCACCGACCATGTATTCCATTACTAAGTAAACACTGCTAACTGATTGCAAAGAGTAGAACAATTGTACACAGTAAGCACTTCGAGTAAGAGCCAAGGCATTTCTTTCGATCACTACTTGTGAAGCCATATTTTTATTTATCATTTCATTCTTTTTCATCACTTTAATAGCATAAACCTGCTCAGGATTGGTCTTCTTGTATCCTAGGAAGACCTTGCCAAAAGCTCCTCTGCTTATTGGTTTCACAATCTTAAAGTCCTGAATCTCTGGCACCTAAAAAAATACTAATAATATCAATGATGCTCATTCAATTATGATGATGTTTATATATCAGAATACAATTTAAAATGTTACCTTTGTAGCAGGATTGACGATTTTCGAGATGGTGTTGAAAATAGAATTATCAATTTTTTTACTAAGCGATGTATGCTGCGGAGTACGTTCTACCCCAGTCAATATACGAGATTCGTGTTCCATATCATCCAATTGATTAATACAATTTGCCAAACTGTCCACTGAATTATTTGTTTGGCCAGATTCATCTGATTGAAGGCCTGGCATCTCGACTGTCATACCTTCCATTTAAAAATGTTGACCAAAGTTGACCGAGTCTGTCAGTTTTCTTTTGAAACCACGATAAATAGATTATCCCTTGCAATCGGATTTCGTCTTGTAACTTACTTTCATTACATAAGTGCAGTAGCTTTTAATACAACATCCCGATACCTTAACATCGTGCATGAATAATTTTATAACGGTCATTCAAATTGCCGGCTACGCTTACTGCAAACATTTTTAAAACTTTCTCGTGCATGCGTATAGTATACGGGAAAAAAAAATTACATCGGCAACTTCATACTAATGAAAAACGCGGGTTCTCAATTGTTAGAAAGACAACGTTCAAACGACTCTATATCCCTATTTCTTATCTATACTTATTTTTTTAATAGAGGACACATCTATCGTGCAGTACTGTAGACTCATTTTGGGATACATATATCACTGTATTGTCTTTTAAATCTTAATTTTCCTGAAAATACTTTTATTAAATGTTTATAGGGATTTAATTTTTGAGTTCTCAAAGGATGCCTGTCTGGAAATCATCTTGAACTTGAAAAGGTTTATGCAGCAACGTTGGTTGTTCATGTTTAAAGCTGAAAATTCACGAATTTATACTCAATAATTTTTACTTTTATGTGAATAGATGTATTGAAATTATAGTTTTTCATATATTTTGTGAATAACATTCTGCAAGACATTTTTATACTTTTCATCTGTATTATTTAACCTAGTAATGGCTGGAAGAGTAGTAAAAAAGGCTCCTAAGAAAAAAGGAGCCAATGGTTATACCATGCCTGAGCCAATTCCAAAGGGAGAAATATTTACAGACATGGGACAGAAAAAATGGATAATTGGTTCATCTATTGGAGTCGGCGGTTTTGGTGAAATTTATTGTGGTATGAAATTGATTTTTGGCTTCAAAGTTTTCATTCTTGTTTTAAAATTTTTCCTAATAAATTATTGATCATTAATTGCTTTTAAAAAAATTATCTCTTAATTACATGTTTTAGCTGCATCCTATATGGAGCAATCGGCTAAGAATTACAATTATGTTATCAAAGTAGTGAGTACTTTTGAAATTTTTGTACATAACTTTTAGTGTAAGATTGTCATGATAAATATTATTTCAGGAACCACATGGAAATGGCCCTTTGTTTGTGGAAATGCATTTTTATATGCGAAATGCTAAAGCTGATGATAGTATGTTTTGAACAATTTTTATTTATCTTATTTTAAGTTTTCACTTATGGTGATGAACAGAAAATGAGATATTGAGTGGAACTGTATTATATACAAATCTTTAGTCGAAGCCTGGAAAAAGAAAAAGAAGCTCTCTTTGTTTGGCATGCCAAAATACATTGGTTCTGGAAGTCACGAATGTAACAAAGTAAAATATCGTTTTGTGGTAATGGAACGGTATGGGACAGACTTATGGAATTTATTCCTTCAAAGTGGTCGCAGATTTGAAGAACACACAGTATTCAAAGTAGCTTTACAAATTGTAAGAAGCAGTTTATTGCTATTCAGTTCAATGTAATAATTTTTTCAACATGTCTCTGCCCAACATATCACTAGTTATTTTTAGATAAACGTACTAGAGTACATTCATCATAAAACCTATGTACATGCTGACATAAAAGGAGGAAATTTATTACTAGATCTGAAGTCACAAGATCATGTTTACTTAGTGGATTTTGGTCTAGCATCACATTATACCACAAAGTCAGAATACAAATTAGATCCAAAGAAAGCACATGATGGTACAATTGAATACACTAGTAGAGATGCACACATGGGTGGTAAGTATTTCTTGCATAGCAATGTTAACAAGCTTCAGAGGCTTTCAAAATACATTTATACTGTTTTAGTGCCTACGATGCGTGGTGACTTTGAAATTTTGGCATACAACATAATACAATGGTTGTGTGGTTCCTTGCCTTGGGAAAAGAATTTAAAAGATGTATCGGCAGTACAAAAACAAAAGGAACAAGCCTTTGACAACATTCCAAAGTTTTTGAAAGCCTGTTTTGGCACTGATGTGCCAAAGCCTGTGAATGATTATATGAATCTCTTAGCTGGAATGAAATTCAATGAACCTCCACAGTATGATAAATTTCGTACAATACTAACAAATGGTTTAACCAAATTAGGACACAAGCCAGATGGTAAATTGGATTTCCATTCGCCTAATAATACAACACAGCACACTGTTAGTACGACAAAAAAGATAAAAAAGGTAACACCCAAAGATATGCGAAAGAGTCCTAGAGGAAAGCAAATAAACTCGAGCCCAACATCAAGTCCAGCACTGAGTCCTACAGGTGAGAGTCCTGGGGTGATGATAAAAAATAAACGCGGAGGATTGCGAGAGATAAAGAAAATCCTAGAAGATATGGAAGAAATCGATGACTCGGATGCCGTTTATCAAATTCAAATAAAAGAGCTTAAAAATAGGAAAAAATTGCCAATCGTTAAGGATTATGTTAAAGCTGTTTCCGAGAAACCAATCAAGAATAAAAGGCCCAGAAATATTTCCAAGATGTCGCAGTCTGATTCCGAACCTGAGGTAATGGATCTACTTTATCTTAAGCTGTTAACATTTAACGATTTTGTACTAAACCAATGACGTATTACAGATCATATCAAAGGGAACAAGATCGCGTCCTCAAGTTGTACCAAAATTAAGTCCCGGCAGTCAACCAGGTTCTATCAAGTTGCTTGGCGAAGAAGAAAGTGACAGTAACGAAGATATGTTTGGTGACGATGATGATGATGATTCCGGAAGAACGCCACCGAAGATACGGAAGAAAAATACATCAAATGCTGGCGACAGATTTGCAAAAATTCGAACTACTAAATCTCGTGTACATAAGAAGGAATGAAAAAAAGTAGATGAAGAATAAGTACATTGTTATTTTTTCTCAAAATACAACCACGTTTAATTATACTTTGTATGAATATTCATTGGAGAATGTGGGAGCAAAAGACTTTCATATGTTAAGACTAGGTCTTGCGTCTTAGTTTATTTTTAAATGTTCATTGAAATATTGAGTGCTGATTGTTGAGCAATAATATTAATCTTCCTAGTATTACACATATACGTGAAAAATATAAAAATGATAATCTGACATTCGTGATTATGAATGATTGGAAATAAACATTTTTTTATACACCACGTGGACTTTATTATTATAAAAAATTAATTCACGATGAAATAATGTAATTTTACATAAGCATATTTACAGTCAGATACATTCGATATAACGAAGGTGAAACTTACTGTCTACACCGAATTACGCAGTACATTGGAAGAAAAGTAGAGCATAACGAAATTAATATTCGCTATTTCTTAATTTTCTGTATCTGTGGCGCACTTATTTTAACTTTTCCGGGTATGTTCCTTGCTATTGTTTCATCTTTCACTGCTTTTAATAAATCTTTTTCTCGAGAAGTTGTTGCTTTGTCACGGAGAAATACAGCCAAAGCAGTTTTAGCGGCTTTACCTCTTTTCCCCGTGCCAGGTGTTAATTTCACTTTGTACCTACAAAATTAAAAATTATATTTATGACCGTTGTTATACAAAGATACAGTTATCATTTAGTAACTTACTTATAATTTAATAACGTATTATACGGTGCTACTACTGGTACGGCAAATAACAGTTCATCCTCTGCAATTGGTTTTCCGGTTAGTTGATTCAACATGTCAATTTCCGGTGCTGGTCCAACATCTTCCTCTTCCGCATTATCGTCAACACGAATATTTTGTTGAATTGGATTTGGTTTTATTTGACCACTTCCTTTCTTTTTATTCTGTTTCGGTCCAGATGGATCCTTGTTTTTATTTTTACGCTTATCTTCTTTTGCCGTTCCTGCGGACTATAAAATATTTTTAGAGTAATTAGTATTTCAAATATATTTACTAGGAACAAACAATATGGTGCTATTCGTGATGTAATTAAATTTTAAAACTAAAAAATTATACCTTTAAAGCTTCCATCAATAGACGCCTATCCTCTTCATCTTGATCCTTGTATTTTTCTTTAATCTTCTTTAGTCGAGCCTTTTGTCCTCTTTTTGGTAAGTTGGGATCTTTTTGCTTGGTTTCTTTTTCGTTTCTGGCATCTTGCTTCTGGATCGAATCTTTTTCTTGGTTAGTATTTTTTTTACTCTTGTCATTAGGCTTCACGATGATAGGTTTATCATCTCCTAAGTAAACGACGTTTTCTTCCTCCTCTTGACTCTCAATTTTTTTCAAAGATTGAGTAGTATCTACTTGTACTTTTATTCTGTTCGCAACAAAAATAAATATTCTCTCAATATTTCTTTTCTTGTCACATGAAAAATATCAACGTTATGAAAATAGAAATATATACCTTGGACCAGAAAGATCAAACTTAATCTGAGTATCTGGAAATTGTGGTTTATCATTGGTTTCACTGTCGCTACTTTCAATTTGAGGATTTGATTTTACTTCCGCTTCCTTTACTTCACCATCTTCGTTCTCATCGATTTGAGATAATGTGATTTTATCTTCGGCGTCTTCATCTGAGTAAATAAAAAAGCAAACCGTTATTAAATTTCATTCTACAAAAAATTATTTGTCGAATTTAAATATTCTTTCAATACCGTTATCATCCGATTCGCCTTCTAATTCAATTTCTTTATCCGAGTCCACTGGTGCTTCTCCAATTTCACTATCTTCATCTAGGATTCTAATTTTTCTTTCATCTTTATGACGCTCTACAGAACCATCCTCCAAGCGGAACATGAAACCCAAACCCATAACCAGTTGGCATGGAGGTAAATAATTTTTTTTCCCACGAATCATGAACGATCCTGTAGTCAAATATTCTCCAGTTGGAGCACTTTTTGACACTTGATCACTATTTACCCACCATGCACCAGCAACAACTTTTGCTTCCCACGCAACGCTGTTAAAATATTAAAAATCAGACTAAAGCCAATTAAGGTGAACATTTGCAGCTTATTTACGCAAGCATACCTGTATGCGACGGCCATAGTACCAGCTTCGGCTAAAGTTTTTGGTGGAACAACATCACCAGTAGGATTTTTTATAACTACTGAACTAGCTCCGGTAAGATCTGCATGGACGTATAGATCACCTGATCTAAGATATCGTTTTACAATTAATTCGTTTTGCTGTTGATCTCTACCACCGATTACTACAGTGAAAAGAGCATGAGATAATAATCACGAAATGTATACAAAACAGTATTCTATATGTCAAATCTTACCCAGATAATTTTCAGACGAGATAAACCAATAAAACTTTTCAAACCAGTAAACTTTTCGTAATTTATTAATACTATGAATCGCCTTAACTTCTTTCAACGTCTGCTTCGTTTTCTTTTCTGCAGATTTCAATGCTTTCCCCTGGGATTCGATGGTCTTTTGTTGTTTCTTTGATGCTGATCTTTTCTGATTGTAATATCTTTGTGCATTTGCAAAAGCAGAATGAGCCAAATCAATATCAATCATCATGGGCTTCAGTTCTGGTTCTTCTTCATCGCTATCTTCATAAGGATTGCTTAAAAATAGAGATATGTTATTAGTCTCTAATTTTAATTGTTTTATCGCGCCAGCTACAGGATCTCCTCTGCTTTGAGCTTCTTTTAAAAGTACTTGAATATCAGGCCAAGACATTTGATTGGCCAATGCACTTTGCATAGCTAATATTGCATTGTCTACCAATCTTTGATTCCTTGTTATTAATTCTGCTTTCTGCTTATCTACTTCCTGAGTCTTTTCCAAAGATATCAATCTCTGATCGTGATCTTTTCTAACATTTTCTAACTTTTTTAAAGCGTCCCTTTCTTGCTGTAGAGCTTTTAAGTCAAGCTTTTGACCTTCCATTGTTGAGAAATATTCATCCACTGCAAGGTCAAATGTCTCAAATTCTTTATAAGGTTGATCCTTGTGTTGTTCGAATAACATAGGATGAAACTCAATGTTGGCAAATATACATTCCTCCTTTTCATTCTGCAATGGCTTCGCTTCCCTTCTTTGAATAATGTATCCCTTACTTAAGTTCTGCTTAGCATTATTGAATATTTGGTTTGCATTTTCAAGAGCAGAGATCAGCTTAGGCATATCTTCAGAAACGTTGAAATCTTTATTAATCTTACATCCCAGGGGAAAGCCAGATTTTAGTAAGACATGATCAATAACAGCTGAACCAAATTCTAGATGCGGATTTAAAATTTTCTTGAGACTCTCGCCTGGTTTTGCTTTATTTATAATTTCATAGATTTCTTCAACTGGTGGCATATTTCTTGTATGAGCACGGCCAAATGGATACTTTTCTCTAACAGCAAACCTAAATAGATTTGATACATTTTATAGACGCTTTGTGATAAAATCTAGGTATTTCCAAACTTACCTAATTTTATCCCCTTCAGTGTGAGGTCTTAGCACATTAAGGATTGTCATTTCATAATCAGTAAGTACAATGTTACCACGATCATAAAGCTCCAAAATTATGTGATATGCTGCTTCTCCACTGCCAAATTGTAAATCTATTATGCGATCCACACCAACTTGTTTCAGGCTTTCAAGGCGTTTATTTTTCAGATGCTTACGCATCTATAATAATTTGTAAATAATAATGTTATATACTTAGATATAGTGGATAGTAGTATATTACAAAATCTTACCTTCATACTAAAGCCAGATGGTGCTACATTTTTAGGCCATTCAAAAGCTGTTGTGTGAAATCTATTACCTGATTCTAGGAGTAAAACACATTTTTCCTCACTTCGCTGCAGACGTACCAAATACGTGCGGTGGTCAATATCATATACTTGATTAACACGCATACCGACGAGCCTATAATAAAATTTGTAAATGATCATAAGGAAACAATTATGGAGATATAGAGATGCAATGAATAACATAACTAAGAAATAGAAAATATCTTATAAATACTGATAGTAACATTGATAACAAAACATATGGTTGTAAAGAAATGGCTTTACGAATTAATAATGGAAAAAAATATTTATTTTTCCAATACAACTACACGTAACGGGCATAAATTATATAATTTATTTTCTAGCCAAAACGATTTTTTAAACCTTGTTTCAAAACATAACCCTACTTAATTTTTTTGTATAAATATCTAAAGTTTTGATATATACCTTTGCAGCTCAGTTATCGAACATAAAATATCATAGGTATTAAATCGGGTTTTCATTTTTATAATTACAGTAAATTATGAATCAGAAAATTAATCACAAAAATCACTTTGACAACTTTCCTCCTGATGTCTGACACATGTAATGACGTATCTGTTACGTATAGCCGTAACGTTGGCACTCACGACCGTAATACATTAGTGTACATACTAAAAAAAAAACCAAGAAGATTATTGTATCTGTGTATCAATATCGTAGATTAAATTATTAATAAATTTGTATGTTTTTTTGAATTCAATCTATTCTTTTATATTTAGTTTTCAACACATACAATATGATGCATCTTCTTCACCCAGTTTTATATTTTATAAATGAATACTGGAAAATGTGTGCAATAAAAATTGACAGGTAATGTTTTTAATTTTTTTTTATTCAATATTATGAATAAGATGTATGTAAAATCCACCGAAATTAACGGTAAGATTTTTGGTAGCGTGCCCTGGCTCCTGGACCGCCAAATTTCTTTGGCTCGCAACGTCTTGGATCAGCAACAAGGAGGGTACGATCATACTGAATAAGGATGTCCTTGACTTCCTTTTTACTGGCTTCATCGACATCTAATGTAAGGAAATAAAACAAATCATTATATCTTCCGTTACTACTATTGTATACATAGTAAAATAATGACTTACACTTTTGGTAGAATGCAACAAGAGCCTTGGAGATAGCCTGACGGATGGCATAGATTTGAGCTACATGACCACCACCATTTACTCTGACCCTGATGTCTACACCAGAGAATTTCTCCTAGAAATATAAACATTGCGTCAGTAACAAATATTTTAATATTAAAAAAAACCTAATATATTATAAGTTAAATGACCTCAGAATCCTTGTTTGTATTCATTGTTAATCGTGTTCGGAATATATGCATCATAGTAGTTACAAGGAATATATAATAAACTACTTTCATAGTATTACCGAAAAAATGAAAAGCACTGATAATTAAAACTATAAAGATAAATGGAATTACATTAAATAGTATGAAATTACCTTGCCGAGAAGAAGAATAGGCTCCTGCAATTTGTATTGAAGCACACGGGGCTCCACCAATTCCAATGGACGTCCATTTACGCGAAGAATTCCACGGCCTCTTTTGCAATACGCGACCGCAGTTGCGCTTTTCTGTAAAAAAAAAATTGTTTCTGCAATGAATATCTTTTTACTAACTTTAAAATACACTTCATTAAGTATAGTATTTCAAGTATAAATACATATATGACATTTGTCAGAGCTAATTATTTCTAATAGTTTCCTAAAAGTAATAGTAGAATTACCAAATATAAACAAAGTATTGAACATGAAACAGAATACATAAACTACATCAAGCCATTCAGACTACATGAAAGTTGATATCTAAGAGGACACGCGTGTTCATAACCTAATTCTTTCATCAAATTTGCAGCTTACCTTACGTCCGAAGACCTGTACGGAGTGGATCGGTTCCTTCTGTTTCTGTAATATAAATTACGAATCGTTGTTTAAGACACATTACTTAATTAAAAATAATCTTATTACTATTAACTATCACATTATAAAAATCTCACCTTCTGCATTTTGGAGAGCACGTCGTGGAAAGGAAGTCGGCGTTGCGCGCTGGCTTGTTTTCGCTACAGAGCGGACAACGCCAGTCAATAAAGAGTTTATAAAAGACCACTTCCTCTTTTGAATATTTTGAACAACCTAGTACCCAGAACAAATTTACCGGTATGCGCAAGTGTTATAATTATTATCACAGAGAAGAAACAAATGTTTACGTTTCTAATAATCATTAATATTTAATATAATTTCATACATCACTCTTTCTCTAATCCACCAACTAATTTAGTTTAGTAAAGCAACAAATATTAAAGCTCTCATCAAACTTCGCAAAAAGGTTATTCACAGTTATCCCATCAAAAATAAATATTTAATTTATTTTGGATTTTTTTTACAAATTTTCCATTCTATTAAACCTATTCAGAAAAAAAAAGAAATTTTTTACGCAAAAATGCTCCGCCGTTTTATACGTAGTGTCATAAAGAGTCTATAGACACTGCAAATAATTTAATACCGTGCCTCGATTGCCAACCTAAGGTTCATGATCCGACCACTCCCTACATCATAACTTTTATGCTTGGACCTCAGGGAGATTGTGACATGGTGATGGCGTCTAATATCGTACGACACTAACACACCCTGCCATCATTATTAGGTATATATACGAGTCAGAAGTAGCAAGTTAATATTTTCACCTCATCTCACTTAATACATGACACAATATGAAATTTAAAACACATTATCGCCCGAATGACGAAAACGGATTCACAATAAAAAAAATATCAAACTTCGATTTCATTGACGCAATAGTATTTTAATTATTGCTTAGCCAAACAGTAATATCGGCTACTAATAAAAATCCAATATAGGCCATATCGCTGTTGTGTACCCAATAGAATCGAAATACTGCAAACAGTTTCAATTGAAATGGTTACGTGGCGATAAAAAAGGAGCGTGCGATTTATTGATGAAAAACATTTTATAGTACAGACGGGTGGCGCATTTTGTTGATCGTTTACATAGCAAGTCTCGTGAAACCTATTAAATCGTGATGTGAATTTTTTAAAAGTATGTAATATATATCTCTTGCTTGCCGTTTCATTCTCAAGATATCATATATCCTTCATATACTTCTTTTATAGATCAAAAAGGATATCCTTGATCTTTCATTGTTCGAAAACGGTTACTATGGAAAAGGATGAAATGTAAAAAAAAATGGTCAAAGTATTACTGTCACCTATCAAATTACTTTTAAACTGAATAATAGTTCCCGCGCAAAATGCGTCCACTGCCTCGGTGTTCCATAGAATAAATGAGACAAAGCATACGTACATATCGTCACAGACTTATAAAATGAAAGCTAGAATGAAGCACTTGCCAGTCTCGTGTACCTCTCCTATTCACCATCTCCGACCGAGCAGCGTCATCCTTCCATTTTCTATACAGGAGAAACTCGGCTATTCCTGAAAGCTATCTGCCATAGTATAATTTCATCACAGCAATAAAACTGGGATTCGTTTCTTTCTGACTTTAGTATCCATCCACCTCATAAACATTAAATGCTCGTAGCTATTCGTAACCCCCACGATTTACTTTTATATCGAAGGATCGATAGAAAATTACTTTGCTTAGTATATATACTATATGTATATAGTAATATATAAGTTATGTATAGTCAAATAAGCCATAGTCGTTACACGAGCTCTCTCTCTCTCTCTCTCTCTCTCTCTCTCTCTCTCTCTCTCCCCCCTCTCTCTCTATATATATATTCATGAGTTAATTTTGTTAGTTAACACTAACCATACCGATCATTTTTTATGAACGTATTACTGACTTTAAAAGGGTCAAATGACCCGTCGATGGTACGTTTGCTGTTAATTCTATACTCCTATTACCTTGTTCTTCAAGTCTCTTCATTTATTTATCTCTATCTATCTCTCTCTCTCTCTCTCATATTCAAGATCTTGTGTACACATAATATAAATAGTACACAGAGCGTACTGCTTCTAGAATGTACCACATTCAAGTGCAATCTTTTTTCAGTGTCTATTTCGATCTTCTACGTTATATTCTGCTATTCTGTAAGCACGACATGTCCTTAGCGTGGGTTCTAGCTCGTATAAATTCAAATGCAGATTCTGAGAATAAGATATAGTAACCTCCCTCATAAACATATTCCCGTACTACTCATCATTATTGCAGTGAAAATCTGAAGTGAAAAACGAACGTTGTAGACGCTTTCGATGTATTCGGGAGACGTAAAAATTTTCACGGAATAGATTTAATTTTACAGAATTCATGCATTAGCGAACGTTAACTGGGATACTTACGTGCTATTGGAACTTAGGTTCAAATTATTTTGATGAAATAGAAGTTTTTGTCTTTTCGTAGTCAGTCTTTGTTTTCTTTTATCCGACACATGATGCTGAAATGATTTTAGGATTTTCTGATGGCATATGATCAAATACGAGAATTTCTATATGTAAGTATATGTGTTATCAGTATATCCACTTGTATTCACATATAAGATATTGATCTTCTTCGATGGTTATTCTTGTGAAAATGTTGCCGTCAGGGACCAAATTGCTGCATGCAGGGGAGGATGCTGCGCCGAGGAAACATTAAAAGAGGAATTCAAGGTGTGGTGTGTGGTGGTGTTCGTCCTTCATCATTGTATAACACCCTTGGGTCGACTTACTGGCGTACAATCATATATCACAAGGATAAGGTTATTTATCAGAGGCAAAGCTACTGGGGCTCTTAAGATGATGATAATGATGACGAAGAATAGAGCTGGAGAAGATGGTTTAAAGGGTTATAACTATTGTATTGTTTTATATAAATTTATGCATAGATTAGCAAAATTGACTCGATCCGTGAAGATACTTATATCATGATATCTTATATCACAATAGAGTTATACATAGTGATAGTGAAACATAGAGTTTTTTGTTTATTAGTCACGTTATGTACGTCAATTAATGTACTTCAATATTTACGAGTGATTATAAGTGTCTTGTGATTATTATCAATTTATTTCCCTGATGTCGTGGGTGGTTTAACGTAGTAAGTAGGTTTGTAAGAATATAAGCAGACAAGAAGACACATGTCATGGGATTCAGATAGTTTTTTTTCATGGGTTAAATATAATATATGTTTGGGATAAAGGTCGAGCGCTTATATACAATATATTGAGTATGAGATGAATTGATGTGTGTTTGTCATATATTTATCTGACGGTGAAATTTTTGGATAAAAGAGGACTCGACTAGGAAGCTAAGAAGGTTTCCATAATTGGTAGAATCCCAGGCGGTGTGATCCGCACTGAGTCTCCCCCAGGTTTAGCTTCAGTTTTCAAAATCCTTCCTTCCTTCCTTTCCTTATGGCTGTATCCCCAATGGGGGACATGTGCCAGAGTTTTCAAAATCCTTCTAGAAACCTTTTGTTGGCCCCTATACTTATATTTCATGTATAATACAGTGAAAGAAAAATATAGGCACGTAAAGTTACTTGAATATGATACCAATTACAAACTGTACAAACTCAAGTGATAAAATCCGCTCACTTATACCGGCAGAGCATTCAAGTCCAGTAACGGAACTCCTTGGATAAAGGAGAAACCCTCGTTATCGGACATGAGGAAGTACCTTACAGCCATCCTATTAACGACTCAAGTCCATATGATCTATTTCGGCAGAAGTATCCAAGAGCAAAGAATAATTCTAATCAGTGATACGTCCCTTTAGGAAATGGGATGTGAAAAATCGGTAGAGAGAAATCGAATATTCTCAAAGGATTTCTCACGGAATTGATAAATTGGCAAAATGGTAGAGTGTATAAAATTATAGCAGTGGTAGTAGTAGTCGTGAAAATCGCGAGGGTTTCGAAAGTCAACTAAGAAAGTCCGTGCACGCGCACGGGAGGAGTAGGTTATGGCGTCGCAAGGGTGCAAGAGGGGTTAGAGGAGTGGTGTCGACGCGCATGCGCAGAAGATGTCGAATCGGTTTACGGTGTGTCGAATCAATATGGCGCGTGACGTCACTCGCGTTCAGTCTTCGGTTTCGGAGGACGGTTTTTCACGGAGGCGTACTAAAGAGGGAAATTTGTTGCGCGCTGGTTGATCATAGGGGTTCGGCGGCATGACGCTTGTCGTGAGCGCTTTTTGATAACCGACTGAGGTCTCTGTACAAACCTTAACGTTAACTTGGACTAAGCCAGAAGGGACTAGTCGGTCTCGGGCAAGCATGGGGATAGCACGTGTCACCTTCACCGTGACGCACAACGAGCAAACCCCATACACAGTTGTTGCCTCGTGCGATCGTCCTACTACTACCACTGTCCTTATCATAGATACTAACACCACTTCTAACACTACCACCGACGACGAAGAATCTTATCATCCCTCTACTGGCCGATCCTCGAAAAGTATCCCTCTGACTTGCACCAAACTGTCCGCGAATTCGCGAATCGACTTTCTCACGATGCACCGGTTTCTTTATATTCTCGGAGTGCTCGTTATCGCTGCATTTAATTGTCCGGTCGCCAAGGGGGAGGTCTTTACGAATTCGTTTCTTGTAAAGATGCGAGAACCAGCTGAGAGACACGTAGCCGATCATGTGGCTGCTAGAAATGGTTTCGTCAATCTTGGACCGGTGAGTTGTTTGTCATTTACATATACAAAAAAAATTCATTTTTTTTTCGCATCACTTTTTATACCTGAAAATCAATTTTGAAATTGACATTTTTTTCTCGTCTAATTTCATACACATTTTGCACGTTGAAATATATATCTCGTAGGAAAATGTTGCTGCTTTGTTTAATACTCGAAAGAATTATTTTTTTCTACACGTATTATATTTATGTATGAGTTTCCGTCTGTAGTGTAATAAAATATGTTTACTCGTTTTCGAGTACGGAAACTGTGAGTAACGAACGCGATAAAGACTCCATCGATTATATTTTCCTATTGTCGGATTCTCGTCTTAAATTCGGCACTGGTAATTATTTGTTTGTCAAATTGAAAAATACAAGAATACAATAGGCAGGATATTTTCTACGATAATGGTCGCAGTACTGAAGGCGGGCGTCGCGACTATCGCATAAGGAATACACAATGCCGCATGTCACTTTTCCCGAGAATAAAACATCCTTCCTATGTGGTGCTCGGTGTCGTTTGCAGTAGTAAACTCTACCATTGATCAGCCATCCATTTCGTCAGGTATAGTGTGTGTAGCGTATATGCTATAGTCTGTGCACGGAAATACCCTGGTAGAAAATTTCAATTGAAATTCAAAGTCCTTTAGCACTCTCAGTTTGCTCTGAAATCGCTTAATGTCAATTTTAATCATTCAAATACACCTTTTACCATCCTATTTATTATTAACCAATGGGTCATCCCCGCAGCAACTGACACTCGTAACATCAGCATATTTAACTCGGCAGGAAAGCTAATTTTATTACTGAGGCAATTTTCTACTGTGATAATTCGAAGACGATTTCAGGACGATTAGGGAATTGTAGCCTGAAATGGAGTCTGCGGTTTGTTTGGTAAATACAAAATGTAGAATCCAGCTGGGAGTAAATCGTTGTATAAGTAAATAACGTTGAAGCTATGTAAATCAATGAGCACCGAAACCTAACGTTTACTTATCGGACGAACCAACAGTTTATATAACACATGAAGCTTTGAATGAACCAACAGATCGATGAACGGGACAAAATGCAAATAATGAATTTACCAGACACTTGAATCGACATTTTTGAGTGAATTTGAAAAATCGTAATTTTTTTTCATTTGCTATACTTCCTAGTGACCTAACTGTTACTTTTGGTATAGTGTTTCGAATTTTCTTTTTCACTTTTTTTTTTAGTACGTACTATCACTTTAACAATGTTTTATGACCATTTCAATGGGTTTGCAGGTGTAATACTTTTCAGCCGAAACAACCAAGAAAGAATCATAAAAATTCGTCCCTTAGGGCGTAAAGGGAGAAGTGAATCTCTTTCCTCGATTCAATCGACGACATTTCTGCGGTCCCATGTTTGTATTAATTTTGAAAATGAAAATATTAAGGATTTCCACAATGCGAATTATATGAAACAAAGCTTAATAACCAGGGGTGCGCGTTACGTGTTGAAACTCCGAGGGAAGCCTGACGTAATTATTGTTACGCAAAGGATTCGCTCCTCTTGGTAAATGTAATTCTGTATATTTCACTGAAGTAAAACTATAAACATTCCCATTGGTGATTAAGGTCTAGTGGGTACATTTTTTAAAATATAGAAAACCCACTACAGTCTTTGATAATAATAAGGACTAACCTGCATCCGAAGAGGATTTACCAATAATTTCTATGGCTTTGTATACCTCTAGTTTCCTACAATATTATTATATTGAACATATGGCTTATAGATTAGAAATGGTGCAATATCATTCGGATATAACGGCGTGTAGATATGTACATTAATCTTGAATGTTCAGCTAACGTATCAATCGGTTATTATTAAAAGCCAATCATTTTCACCGGAAGTATACTTTTTACCTATATGACAAAAAACCAATTATACAGTTTCATTGTATAAAAAAACAAGCGAGAAACTTTCAATTTGCAATCGCTTCTCTGTGTTAGGCAGCATGATACTGATAAGCTTCGAAAAAGGTAATATTTCCAAAGATAAAAACGTGACGAAAGTGCTGAGAGCAATAAGCTTATCCGATAATGACGTGACTAAGGGAAAACGATTTTCTTGACGTAATGAAAATACTATAAATCATTATCTTTTTTTTTTTTCAATTTTCACCACCAGCTCGTCAGATAACGTCTCTACCATGGGCAAACTATCTCCTGGAAGGTTATACGTCTATGACCATTGAAACAGTGAAATTTACTGGGAGGCGATTCCAGCAGTTGCATTAATAAATTCATTTCGTGGCTGTTGAAAGGATAACTTGAACTGTTGAATATATTTAATATTATGACTATTCATTTTTTGGTAAAATTTTGTCGAACTGGGTCTTTGCGCGAATAACGTGTTTTGCATATGTTTTATATATATATTTTTTTTAAATATTATTTTCCTATATGATAAAAATATTCTTATATTCTTATATTCTTACTATTCACACAGACCTTCTGTTCCTTGCTGTTCGTGATTTGGTTTTGCTTAATTTAACGTTTTCTTTAATTTTCACGCTAAAAGGTCATATTTAATTAGTCCGTAACGAGTAAAATTATTCATATAGCATGGAAAATGAAAATTTTGAAATTGCTCAAAAAACAAAATAAAAGGAGGCGGAATGAGGAACGGGTCGTATAAAACTCGAAAATTTTCGAAAAAAAAAAAAATTAATTCCGACTTGTTCCTCGCACTTGTCCAGTCCGAGAGAAAGAACTGTCTCAAACAGACTGAACGAAGTTTCTGCGGAGCTGTTGAAGTTGTCAGAGCGTATAAATACGAATGATCGAAGTAAAGGCCGTTCTAGCTTTCCTGAAAGAGAGGATAAAGTAAAGCCCTTATTTCTCAGAGAAATAATTTCAAGGTAATTTCATTGCCTGCCACCTCATGCCTTTAGAAAATTTCCCTCGAATTGTATTTGGCGAAATGACCGAAACTTGCTTGGAAGTAACTTTGAAATTGTTGAGTGGAAATATTGTGAGGAAAAAAAATGGTAAAAGTCGATCAAGATTTTATAACCTATATATATATAATTTGGAACTCTACCATTGGATCCCATGCCGAGCATGACAACTTAATCGAATTTAATTTACATGTATTGGCACCAGCCATTCGATTGACTCCTCGTGATTGGATCCTTGTTAATTAGCTGTATATGTATGCTGAATAGAAATTAAATGAGAAAAGCTCATCTAGCACTGCGCCAGACTATACTCTAATAAGAAGCTTGAGTTTAATACCTTAAAGGGATTCTTCGCACGTGCCAAAATTTCCTAGCAAAAGTTTGATCTCTAGTCAAAGCATATATTCAATTATAACCACGTAATAATTCACCCAGAGAAGTTTAACAAAGTATAGCCAGTTTAGCTTCGATGCTGATTCCTTGATAAATTACGTTTTAATTATTTAACTCTCTACTGCTGAATGACGTAAGCAGCACTCGACTATAATGGAATTTCATTGTTTCATACGTAATAGAAATTAATGTCCCAATGTTTCTCCGTATCCGACTAATAGTTCGATAGAGGGTTTATGAAGCCCAGTAACTCCCTGGGTATTCTGTCATTAATGACTTACTGATAATCGGGGTAACGACCCGCATGCTTCTGCTCGAACACCTGCTCGCGGTTTATATAACGCAATGGACATCTACGGGTCGCTGCTCGGTCCGTTATGTATTTGGGCTAATGAGAAAGTTTACTCAGTGATACATAATACACTGAATAGTCATTTAACAAGTGAATTCAAACGTGCCTGACTTACGTATTGACTTGTTGATTCTCTTTAATACCTAAGGCGCATTCGCGAATTATAATTTTTTGTGTCCATCCTCTTAAAGTTATTAACGTCCTAAATGTCTCAAGTATAAAAAAGACGTGTCATCGTCCCCCTAGACACGATGAGACGGTATAGGTATTTCTTGTTGAGGGTTGCTGAAAAAAAAGGTTGGAATTTTGATTTTTTCTAAATTTTTTTTTTTTTTTTCGTAAAAATTCTTTTGCAAATTTACTTCCGTTCCGTGCGTCAATATAGTATATGTATATATACATGGTTGTTCAAAATATTCCACCGCCTGAAGATTCTTCTATTATAAGCATCGATTTGAACCACCTGGATGCGCCAAATTCAAGCGGTGCAATAGTTCTGAACAACCATGTATACACATGTGGTTGATACTATTTATGCAAAGGCACATCAGCTACGGCATTAGGGACAATAAACTTACTTTGGATCATTCGCAGCACTGGTTACGCCGCGTATTTTGCATAGATTGGCTAATTGGATTATGTTAGTTGGGTGGGACCAAAAGGAATTAGGGTCTTGTTTGCTATGCAAGCGAATGATTGAGCAGGCACTAGGCTTGAGCGGAGGATGAGAGAGTAAATTCTAGTTAGTAGTTGATCAAAGACATCGTGAGATGAATTTTATCATGGGATCAAAGGCATTCTGAATTAAAAAGGATAAAAATACATGGCTTTATGTATTAAGGGAGCTTCCCGAGTACTTCGTCTGTAGTCGCTATCTGCTTTATCTATTCAACCACTTTTTCTTAAATCTTGAGAAGGTGCGTTGTAAAAAAAAATTACTCTAAAATTCACTCGGGGTATTGTCACAAGTGTGCTGTGGGATTCGTCGGATCCCAGGAGAGTCATAAAAAGTTAAGGCAAGTTTTCATAATGTTATATCTATATAGCTTCAGCGATCCGAGTAATTGTAAAATTTTTGCTAGACTTGCGTGGGCCGTTCTAAGAACCCACGTTTCGTACTTACTCTGTATTTAATGTACATGTAAAAATTTTTTTTATTTTTTTTCAGAAAATCTTTATGAATTTATTCGGAAAATTTATACAGTTTTGTAGAATTTTTTTTTTTTTCTTACAATTTATACACTTTTGACTGTAACAAGAGAGATTCTTATGTTTTACATGAAATATATTCCGTTTACGTTCTTTCGTCTTGAAACGCATGAGCGACGGCTAGACAGTACGTGGGGCTTACTATTGTATGTACAATGAGTCGTAACGCGATGTTGTGTTATGGGAAAAAATGTTGCTTGGAAGCTTTTTCGAGTTTACGTTTACTTTTACGCCGACAATGATCGTTTGATATCGAATATTATGGCACTTTCGCAAAATACCATGTTCGTGGTGGGTTATGTCTGTCAGGGTATATTGGTTTTTCATGTTAAAGCTTCATATGAGAATTTCAGAGAATATTCCATATGCTAGTACCCATATCTACGTATGGTCCACGTATCAAAAGGTTTTCATGGCTGAAAAAAGCTTTCATGACACGCGTATTTATATAATATTTTATTACATAACCTGCACTGACAACATTTTTACGATAAGTTCGGAAAACTAAGCAGGACATTTGTTTATTAACTTTCGTTGGGGACGTGTCTTCTTCATTAAAGTAGTTAAACTTCGACTTCGTCACGAACCCTGACTTTTTTTTACGAAATTATTATATCCAAATTGGTGACTGTAATATTATATGTCTACAGATAAATTTTGACTATTAATTTTTTGGGAATTATCGGTTACGTCGTCGACTGCTATTTCTTCTTCTCGTTATGTCTACCGATGTCTCAACCGTATCACTTTTCTTTTTTGTGCTTGCAACTGTGTCAGTATCTCCTGATCATTGAAAATGAAGGCATGTTCATTCAAATGGTGCCGAGCTGTCATTCATACTGTTGCTGGATAAATACTAGATGCTAGAAGCAAGTGCACGAAGACTATACGATAGAATGTCAATAATAACTAATTTAATATTTTGCTATGTATCGTCATGCTATTATCACTGCCTATAATCACTCCTTGTTCATTAATTAATTTATAATTTTATCCCTCTCCTCTCGTGCTATCTACGCCACAGTATTTACTTTCCCCCCCGTATAAAGTTTCTCGTTCATATCCCATTTATTTTAGCCGTGAAAACAAATTACTATATTATTTTCCTGTGAATGTATGGTTGAGTGCTGTTTTTCTTGCGTCTGGAAATCAATTCCGAAATTACGTCAGGCACGTTTGAAATGAATTATTGATACGAGGGGTATAATGAGAATCGATCGAATTTTTGGAATTTTATATATTTTCCTGGAGGTCTTGTTTAAGAGAAAATTTTATCTTTTAAAGAGATCACGATGAATGACATTTTTTGTTATTAAGCATAAATTTTTGAAAAAATTAAACATTACATTGGCATACTTCTAGGTACTCACGAAATCTTCTGTTTGGACCAGTTAGAAAGAGTTTATCTGCTTTGAAAATTTCAACGAATTATCATAACCATTTAAGGGTAAACTGGAATTAACAAATTACCTGTACAATAGTCTCTGTTAAGTTAAGGAATGTAAATCAAGCGAAGTTGGTCGATTTCGAGAAGCGATTAGTTTTTTGGTTCAATTAGGAATAAAACTTGGGTATTCCGATAAGCGAACAGCTGCCGACAGCGACTCGGCAAAACTTAACTTCTTTGAATAGAAATAAAATATGCCGCCAGAAAAATACGATCCGTTCAAATGGCTGAATCTTTATTTATGCGGGACGTGAAGTCGAATGAATATTTTGGAATAGTTCGTTTTTAGGGACAATGAAATATAAATTTTTGATGTAGCTATAAAAATTAATTGTTGAATTAATTAATGTATAACTTCGATACTTTCAGCTGTCAACCAATCACGGGTATTATTATTGGTTCAATACTCGATTCGTTTACAATAAAATTCGTTGTTTACAAAATCAAAAATTAGCCGTATTCGGAAGCTGCTATGAATTTCAAAGGGAATTGGATTAGCAGTTACATAATTAGTCGCTAGTGAATAGACTAATTATGTTTGAGATTTCAGTCAGGATATCCCTGACATCTGACTTGTTTAATAGTACGTGAGTATACCTATATATGTAACGAAATTCCATTGAAAATCTTTACTACAGAAAATATTCTATCTGGAGAAATTTCCTGAGATTGATTAACGTACGAGGACTGCAAATAAGGGAAGAAGCCTATGAATAGTGATAATGGCCGTCTACGTTATATTTCTGGTACATTTACCGTTTTGAAACGTACCGAATAATTTAAGTGGCAGCATCGGGCGGTTACCAAGAAATTTTACTCTCCGAGTTTTATCCCCCTCAAGTTCTTGCCGAGAATTACATTAGCGTTTTATCTTGGCGCTCTGATATAAAAGCTTTACGTTTCTAAGGCGTAATAAATGATGTAACCATTGGACAATTTTCCAGCGTTCGACTTTTGCGAAATGCGATTATAGAAGATTCCATTTAATTCTCCTTCTTTTTAAAGGTCCTGGGCAGCCAGACGGAATATCACTTCGTGCACAGGGCCCTACCTCACGCTAGAAGTAAGAGATCCGTACCTCACACGAGGAGATTGAAGGTGGATCCTCTGGTAAGTGAAAAGTTCCGTTTGATGCCTTTTATTTTTTTTTTTTTTCTTCTTTACTTTCATCTCAGCAGAATTTGACATTACTCGTGTACCGATCAAATATCTCAATGTCGGAAGTCGAATAAGCATTAAGGCCTCTGACGGTGCTGAAGCTGAATAATAAATATAAATAGAAGCTCATGGGTAAATATGAATATATATTCATAAGGCATTTTGATACACATAAATATAAATATATATTTATATATATTTATTAAGGAGGATATTTATATATACCATTGAGGAAAGACGACAGTCGATTGATCAGCGTATAAATAGGGTAGATAATTCTTTTATTCTATTTGGACGTGTATCTTGTTAAATTAACGTCTCACGGCCATTTCATCAAAGAACCATAAGACGAGTATAAAAATCGGCCAAAAAATATGTATTGTCGACAAAGTATTTTTTTTTACGAGATTACCAAATTTTTACTTTACACCTACAACTTGTAACTGGTTACTGAAAGTTTGACGCTCATAAGGATATTTAAATCGCCGACTTTTAAAAGCGTAATAAGTAGAATAAATTTTGGTAATTTTTCATTGCGTTTACACGTTATAAGTAAATGACGGACGACTGTTCAAGTTCATTAAACCATCATCAATTTCGTTCCCGACGTTCATTAGTCTCCCACTCGAGTTACTCCTTTGGCCCATTATACAGACAAGAGGTAATAAAGTCAAGTTCATAAAGAGTGGGCAATAAAAATTTCTGCAAAAGATCTTAAGTGTAATGAAAAATAATGTTTTTTATACCAACGTGAAAATTATAATACATCCGAATGTTGTAGGTTCACACGGCGGTTCAGCAGGCTGGATTCAAGAGGGTTAAAAGAGGCTACAAGCCGCTGAGCGTCGACAATCTGATACCATTGCACCAGATGAGAAACCCTGGTAATCCAGGAAGCAGGGACCCGACGGATCCGTTCTTTCAGTACCAATGGTACTTGAAGAACACTGGTCAGAATGGCGGCAAACCGAAACTCGATTTAAACGTGGAAGCAGCCTGGGCGCAGGGAGTCACCGGGAAGAACGTGACCACAGCCATTATGGATGACGGTGAGTATTGGATTTATCTAAATCCGATTGCTGATCGGCAAATCGATCACCTCGTTAATCATTGGCACGAACGCACCCCGCATCGGGATTCATTCGGATTTACGATTGTAAAATAAAGATTTATTATAACGTGATGATTCTTCGCTCAGACGGATATTCACTGTAGGCTATACCCAGTGTAGGATTTTTTATTTCCCCAGATGAAATTCCATTCACCCTCTATAGTTTTGTCTGCTTTTTTTTTCCAGGTGTCGACTACATGCATCCGGATCTCAAGTACAATTACGTGAGTAATTCTGGGCGCAGTTGGGTTACAGTCTTTGAAAAAAATATATTTTTTTTTTTCTTTCTCAATCACTGTAAATACTTCTCACCCACTTCTCAACCTCTTATATCTCATTTTACGTTCGTCTTTCTATCGTGTGATATATCTCTGCATGTTGCACCGGCTTGGTTTGTTACCCGTTTGCGTTACGTATTAGCATAATATCCGCTATGAAATTTAAATTGCGTATAACCGTGACCTTTTCGAGCGCGAACGATAACAGGTTAACGCGACTCGACGCATTACGACACGAGCTTGTCACCCGCAGTTCCACTTAATCAATGAGCTAGAAAGAGAAGGCTCTAATAAATATGAACCAACCTTTTGGAAATGGACTTTGCCTATATTCCTACTTCCATAAAGGAAAATTTCCCATCGACGTGTCGACGGTTTAATTAAAGCAACGCGCTGTCAAAAAAGTCCATGATATATATATATGATATATAATATATATGCGTCGTCTATACAAACACTCAAACCTAATGGAAGCCTTCGTATCGCGTTTTTTAAATTTCCAGTCAACCCCTCTTGAACCCTAAAATAATATCACCGATGAATTTAAAACCCAAAGCTAAATGCTATTAACCTTATCTGTACCGAGAAAAATTATTTTGCGCTCCGTTGTCAACCAAGCAAACGTCTAATTGGCGAAATCCCGAGGTGGATGTAAATTTGCATGGGATAAATCAGGATTGAGAGTCCTCGCGAATAAGAGCTTTTATTAAACGTGCAAACGAAAATCCACTCTGACGTTACTCCTTATTTACACTTTATCGACTTAGGGGTGGTTGAAGCTTTTTGAAGTTGGATGACAGTAAAATTCAACCGAGGGATACAAATGGAGATGAGCCACGAAAATTGTGAAGGACCAGCACACACTGCAAAGACAATTCATAGAGATTCATTGAGATTCTCGGTAGGGAGAGAGATGCTATATCAATTATCCTACCATCCCCGCGAATAAAGATTAATAAGCGTAAGAATATATTATGTTCATCCGGAAGATGAGTAAATTGAACGATTGAACTTGAAATAATAAATTCAAGTAGCCTGAATAGTTTACGTGGTATAACCAGTCGTGAGATTGCGCAATAATTAATTTAATTAGGTTAACTCGCGAAAGGGGACTGCGAGGTCATAGGATCTTTTTTTTTTATGGAATTATAATATCTTAAGTATTCGGAGATATTTTTTTTCGATCACGATTACTTCGATAAGTCGGTCCGTAGGAACCGTAGGAAACCTGGTTTCTCGAACGTTTCTAAGCTCGATCTGACATTCGTTAAAACGGCGACTTGGCGAAAGTAAAAAGGTCGAACTTAACGAGCTAGCGATACTTTTCCCTTGGGTAAACTGGGGGCTCTGCTGCGGAATAACGTCGTAAAGAGTCTCGAAAATCCCTGAGACTCGTTTTTCTCGTGGCTCGTTGCTACCACGGAATCCTCTGCGGTCCCGTCTCGGATGATCCCTCCTCGCAATTATGGCAAGGGCGGCACTACGAGTATCCGGATCCTCAAACCTATTCGATTTAAGGAGACGGAAATTGCTTTCGCTGAAACCAACTTTTTCTTCGTGAAATCAATTGGAAGACGTCTCTTCTATTTTCAGAACGCCAAGGCATCTTACGACTTCAGTAGCAACGACCCTTACCCGTATCCGCGATACACCGACGATTGGTTCAACAGGTGAGTCCTATCAGCGGCAACTTCCGGTTTTCGATTATATTTAAGCACATGTACATATATGTTCATCAAGAGTTGGGTCTAGCATCCTACCAGTGTACACGAATATTCCAGAAACTCTGACAGATTTATAATCACGTAATCCTCTTCTAATCATTCATTAACCCATCGTAATTAGTAGCTGAGTTGGTTAGAGGTTATTACTGGGAGGAGATTGCTCCGGGAAGTCAGCTACCGATTAAAGGTAAACCTTGGCAGAATTACCTCGTTTTGGCTTATTGGTTAACGTAAATGTGAAAAAAAAACACTATTTTTATTAGAATTGATCTATTCACGAATCAAGATTATTTATCAAAATAATTTTCATACTCTCTTTTTTTCTTTATCCGTTTCAAATGACAATTATTTCACGTGGATTCTCATTGGCTCAGTTCCGTACCTCGCTGTTGTTTCGCCTTTCGATATCGGCTCGTTTCAGGCTTTCAGCCTTCAATAACCTCAGCTCGTTCCAACTGCTAGCGATGAGCAGCTGGTGTTAGCCGGTTGCCGATAAAATATCTCTTCTATCAAACGGTAGACTTTCATGCCTTTTAATATTTAATGCGCTCCCATCGTTCCTACATAGTAGATACGCGGCCGTAATCGTATCTTTGTCAGCTTGATTCTCTCGCCAGTAAAAGAGACTCACGATGGGCTGACATTTACGTTCGAAGCATCAGTTTAAAAAAATCATCGATTCGATGCATCGTTCGTTTATTCGTATGACTCGCCCCCTGCGATTGGCAATCGATCTCCGTCAATTGGATTTTTAAAATTGTATCGACGATCGGTATGTTAGCATTACGTGATAACGAATTTAAAATTAAATTTTTTATTTTTATTATTGTAGATTAATTGTAATTAAACCATTTTCACGTAACAAGACACGTCCCATTTTACGCTTATCAATTGCGCAAAGTATTGCTTATCGTACCTAATGAGCTGTTACGTAATATTATACCGGGACACGCGAAACTACCAATAACACGTATAAAGCAACGAGGTTGACCGGACGAAATTTTCCATCAGGATGAAAATTCATATCGAACAATTTAACCGAAAGTTCACGTACTTTTTCGTCTCAAATTTCGACTATGGACTAAAACACCAACTGTTACCGAGCCATGACGTTCCTGTGTATCATTAATTATCTTTCTCTTTTTTTTTTTTATTACGTCACTCATCAGTGAGACCGACTACGGGAAAACCGTACCTGCTGTGTAATAATATCCGTTGTGATATTCTGGAGTGAAAATTACGAAAATGTGTATTTTGGAAAAATACATAGATTTATTTTTAATACTGTACCAGACGTCGAAACTTATATTTCCCAGATGAAAGTTTTATTACAGGATATATGATACAATGGATTTTCAATGGAGCAGTCAATCAAGTTTGTAATCCAGTCTCGCAATAACGGTATTATACATAGTATAGAATTATACATAGTCTGCTCACTATAGATATCAAACGGCGAGCGAACGGATTAGAGCCACGTGGCCGAGCATTTATATTCGCGCAGTACCATTTCATATATTCCAATGAAATACCTGAATTGGCTGTACGTGAATTGATTAAGGTTTTTCCACAGGGTAATAAGATTGTATAATGTAATACATTTTTTGTTGTGGCGCCCTACGCGATGCCATTGCTTTGCCAGTACTCTATACCACGTAGCAGCTACATACGTATATATGGTATATGCTTGGAGCTATTGTTTAAATAAATAAATTTATTTATTTCTACCCCGTTATCTATTCGTTACTCGCGTCCAGTGCCCGGAATTACTCGGCCAGAATTTCATTCCTATTAGAAAACAATGGATTATGGATTATATGCCGAATTTAATTTTTCAACCGAAATTTATAAACTTTTTCGGACAGCACTCGAGCCTGAAATTCTTCGCCCATTAGTTCATGTAATTGACAATCTGAACGATGTAAACAAGTAGTACAGCAGAGGTGCCATATTGCTGTGAAACGTTCAGATCGGATCGTTCGTTTTCCCACTATTGACTCTAGATTCTTTTTCTTCCCTTTTTCTCAGTCACGGGACCAGATGTGCCGGAGAAGTGGCAGCTGCTCGGGATAATGGCGTCTGCGGCGTCGGCGTAGCTTACGACTCGAAAATCGCTGGGATTCGTATGTTGGATCAGCCTTATATGACGGATCTGATCGAAGCCAACAGCATGGGACATGAGCCCGATCTTATAGACATCTACAGCGCCTCGTGGGGCCCAACCGACGACGGGAAGACAGTCGACGGTCCCAGAAATGCAACAATGAGAGCTATCGTGCGTGGCGTCAACGAGGTACAGTTCGCCGTTCCACTTGGTCATTTGTCAGGCGGTGGAATTTCATTTGCCAGCCAGGAAATACACGTGGCTCGTGAAGTGGGTCGTTCCGCGCATGGAATTGCGAAGTTTGACCTGGGCGATCCGAGCTGGCGCGACCTTCGAAAATAATTGAGGGTGGATCCGTGTGTGTAATTTTTATAATTTCACGTGGAAGAACAAGGATCGTATGTCGGTCGAATGATTATTTGAGAAAAGCTTCACGCTTCTGTCCATTCGCCTTTATTCGCTGCTGTTACACGAAATCGCACGGATCCTTGACAAGGAAGAGGGAGTTGCGCAATAAACGCGAAACGAAGGGAGAAACGGTAGAACAAATTTAGGTGGTTACCGTTTCCTTTTTTTTTCTCTGCCTCTGGCCAATCTCGCAACATGTGGCTAATGACGTGCTATGTCTTGGACCACTGTGCTTCGGGGCTGTCTCATATAAATAAAGGCCAAGACACGTTGGCGAAAAAACTTCTTTCACCCGGACCTTTTCTCATTCCCTTTGGCTTCTCCTCTTTCCTGGCAAATACCAAAGTTTACCGATAGCGGACCCGGGTATCAATGTCGCGTGTTCTCAATCAAGTCCATTCTACTTCCATTCGACGCTCACGCGAAGAAATTGGCCTACATAGAAAGGAGGTGGAAAACCAGACGTCCGACGATATTGTCCAATCGATGACTCGTTTACCTAACCTAACTTTCATTACCCACGCTTTCTCCGGCAGATAGAAAACTACCTTTCCATCATCGTTAGTTCACCGGAAATGTCTTTTTTTGACAATCTTAATTTTTTTTACTAGAAAATTCATCGCTCAGAAATTTTCTTAATCAAATCGCGGCTGCACGATCCAGTAGAAGATGCTGAGTCTCATCTCGTGCTTTGAACGTGGGCGGATTCCATGTTTAATTAATAAACACTCCTTTACATATTTCACCGGAATTTTCACAATCACGTTACCTCTTCAGCTTCGCAGCATGGCTATAAAGACGAATACGGAAGATACGATTTGAAAAATTACTCCCACGCATTTTTCACGAGGTTACTCGTACCCTTAGTCTTCCGAACGAAGGGCTGCATTTCGAAAAAAAAAAAGTATCGTCACAATCCTGTTAACTCGCACGACGTTGAATGTTTCCACGAACTCTTATGCGGCTGATGTGCAGACCTGCCAAATCGTGGAACAACCGTCGACAGGAAGGGAGGCGATAACAGCCAGTCCCGATCACCATCCACGCATCGTGGATCCGTGTACGCTCCAAGAGTGGCACGATTTAAGGGGAAAATAGAACCGTTACTTTTCTCTCTTTATTTTCGTTCTTTCTTTTCTCCCTTGACGGCTTATTTCGCTTTGCTAACGACGAACCCTCGAAATCTTCCTTTTATTCTTTACATCCAAAAGTCTCCGGGCGTTTGCTTTTTATAATACTCATTGACGACACGAGCCTACAGATATACCTATTGGTTCCTTGTAGTTTTGAAAATTTAATATAATTTTGCCAAGGTAACGTGTCCCCAAGCATGCCATTAGGAATCCACCCACGCAAGTGGAAGCCCCTAATGGGAAAGGACGTTTTGGTAAAGTTGCGTCACTCCTTAATAATTCAGAACCCATCGCGCCAGCGACATCTGGTCGTGGAATCCATTATTGGAAATTGTTATATTTTTTAGAAAATTCTATAAGACGTCTCGAATGATCTTTCTTCTTCTTTTGATCACAGGGTAGAAACGGCCTGGGCAACATCTACGTATGGGCATCCGGCGACGGCGGAGAAGAAGATGACTGCAATTGCGATGGGTATGCCGCCAGCATGTGGACTGTTAGCATAAACAGTGCTATTAACGATGGCCAGAATGCCCATTACGATGAGAGCTGCTCCAGCACCCTGGCTTCTACTTTCAGCAACGGGGCGAAGGATCCAAATACAGGGGTGGTAAGGCTAGAATGTTATTGTTATACTAATATCGTTTTACCAATAGTCGCATAACCTCTTTTCCATGTATTACCTATTTTAGGCAGCCTTAGTTCGTCCTTCGCAAACCGCACCTTTCTTTAACTTTCGTTCTTAGACCTTTTATTGTCATCCTAGACCCTCTTGATATCGCACTCGTACACGGAATTGGTAGGACACGTAGGAGGCTTATGTTCTCAAGGTAAATCGACCTAGAAACTAAATTGGATCTTGATGTAATGTCGATGGCGAATACAGCGCAAAATATAATTAGAAAACGACACAGCCAGGTAACGCTTTTATTTTTTAATGCAGAATCTCTTAACCTTTCGATGTTCATCTAGACGCTTGATCCTTACTGGATCACTGGATAGATCCTTTTTTTCTACAGAAAGATCCTGGTATCACTCCTGGTTCATTCAAAATAATAGATATCATCCCTTACGATGTCAATGACTTCAGATATCACATGACTAAAAGCCAAACGGATGTACAAACATAGGATTTCCAGTCAGCATACGCCCTTTTGCTTTTAGTCACCCGATACGTATCATCTCCTAGGATTATATGGAACTGTTTTCAAGTGACGACGTCAGCTCGGATAATTCCGTCTGAGCTAATTCATGGTCACTGTTATAAGAATCAGTCGCGAGACTCAATGTTTCCTCACGTGAAAACTAACCTGGATGAGAGTTTCATGTCGTTCACGCGACACCCGAGACGGACGGAATCCTGAGCTGGAGGGTTGATTGTCTCGATGGCAGCTTTATCTCAGGTGTGTCGCCATCTATTAATTTCGACTGAGGAAGGACCCCCTGCGCCGAGCAATCTCAAGTTCGTCGTGACATCGACACACGTGGCGCCAAGGATAATGAGAATTTTGTGGAAAATGCCGAAAGCTCCTCAAAGCTCTCTCTGATATTTCACGATGAGCACTTTACACCCTGGTACAAGAGATCTTCGTGAAAAAGGGTTCAATCGGAGTCTGGCGGATGACAATCTACGAAGGAACATCTGAAATGACTATCTGGGGATGACACTTCGAAGATAAAGGTCAGGGTGGAACTGGTCATGACGAGGAGCAAATAAGAAGAGTACACCGGAGTCGAGTGGTAGCTTTAGTCTCTTATTAATTCTGAACACGGTGTTTAAGGGGGTGGTACCGGCGACTGCTACGATGACAAGAATACCGTACACGTATATATGTATATAAGCCAGTGCCTATAGCTATGTCGCGCCAAGGGGTTCAAATGAAATCTACCCCATGCCAGCGTCGCTTTATTATTCGCCATCGCGAAATAGCCTTAGTGTAGTCCTTACGAAAATAACGTGAGAATGTTAGGATCTCAAGGATACGAACTGCGGCCGGTACTTTGTGCGAATTTGCATTCTCACGTTCTGCAAGCTCATTGGGGTTAGCTCCTTGTTCTATCATTAACTTTAACTTTTACTTTATTATTGTCAATTGAAATTTAAATTTGAGCAAAAAGTACCATCTTTGCCGTTGCTTTTTTATGTCTATGGTAGCAGCGTTTATCATTGCCATGCTAATCGCGTTATCTTTGATCGGGTATGCAATATAACTTTGGACGAATTCAGATTACTTTTGAGCGCCATCTGAAACTTTTATGTTGTACGTAGTACCTATTTGAGCCTACCTGGGTGTCTATGGTATATTTTTTCAGTCAGAGATTGCTATCGATTTTCTTTACTTTATTTAACGACGCATAAAAGGCACATGAACTTATATGGCAGTCACGTATAAATGATATGTGGTCAGTGCTCGATTATTCTTTCATGTGCCTTTTTAACATGGTACTGTAAAAAGTTCGAGTTAACCGAGCTTTGTTATTTCGCTTTTATTTCATTTTATCGCTCACGAATCCGTCCAATTCTTATTACGCTCTTTGTATAATCTCGTGTTTCTATCTTGGCATAGACGTATGTATATTACGTCGTAAAAGACTTGATCGTCCAAAAAAACATTTGTGTTCCCGTTTACGTGAAATTTATGGTATACTCGCAGGAGCTTGTCGTTCTCAGAACTTTATCTCTGCCGAACACGAAGTTCCTATTTGGAGTACGATTCAATTTCTGGAACAGTGGGTCGATTTTTTTGTCAATTTTGTAAAAAAAAAAAAATCAAGTGCCTCTTTATTCCCCATTATTTTTCTAAGACTTTTCAGATCGCCTATCGTCCAATTTATTAACTCTAATGCCTTCAGTCTATTCCGCTGAACGAGGCACACAAAGATACGTTTTTCTCTATTGCTCCAAGTATCCATTGAAGAATATTATTACTATATACGCCGTTACGTAATTTCCTTTGTGTCATGGATATTCCAGTATCAAATATATCTATGTTGTAAAGTATAACGATCCGTGTGCGTAGTCGAAGAAGATATAGATACACGTTGAATATTCATGGAATATGCAAAATTCCACGTCGACGTTTTCATTGCAAAATGGCCTTACGTAACGTAAAATAAATTGTTTCCCACAAAAACGAGATTAACCATATTTTTAATTCTACGCGTCACGCAGTTCTGTACAAGATTGTATTTTCCTTCCAGGCTACCACAGACCTTTATGGAAAATGCACTACGACGCATAGCGGAACTTCCGCCGCCGCACCGGAAGCCGCTGGAGTCTTCGCTCTTGCCCTTGAAGCCAAGTGAGTAGTGTCCGCCAATTTAAAGATTCCGTCACGTCAAGATGTGTCGCTCGATATATACATATGACATGTATGTAATATATATCACAGCAAAAAATGTATATACATAGTAAATACAATCTACGTATTGAAACATACGAAGCATATGGCAGTCTGCTTCTATTTTTATGTTCGAGAGGACGACAGTGCGTTACGTGGAAGAATATTGAATTACGAGGGTGATAAAGTGCAGCGAAGCTTTTAACAAGCATGTCGTTGCTCGATTCAAAGCAATTCCTCGTCGTTGGATACTTGTCGATTTTGCTTTATCACGTCTCCTCTTCGAACGACGGCACTTGTTCGTCATCCTTCAAGAAATTCCAACACGTATACAGTTTCAATGTTATCTACTTCAGCTCGATTCACCGTCTTCGCATATTCTTCCTGCACTTATTTAACTTCATGCTAGACTCGATTCTTATACATTAATTGGATACTGTGCTTAAGTCGAGTATCACTTGTGTTCAGAAAGACTTGAAATATTGTATGTATATATACTTTTGAAAATTGCGAATTCAAGTATAAACGTCGGCCACTTGATGTCTTCTTCTGGGCGGAGTATCTTATTCCCTTTGAATAAATGCTAAGGGTACTGGTCGAAGCGCCCTTTGAAGCTTTTCAGGATATATCGACGGAGTATGGACTGTTAGTGAAAGGGAAAGAGAGAGAAAGGAAAGAGGATAGAAAGAAAACCCTTGGGTTTGAAACCCTTCTTGAGATTGATATCTCACGCGGCCCCAAAAGCTCTCGGCTCGATAGACCCTCCCTCCCCTCCCTTCGTTTTCTCAGAAGGTCATCTCTCCGTGGAAAGGTTGAAGGGATCGTATAACGTGGAGTCCAAGTGAATTTTCTCTTTACTCTCATCCTTGTCTTTTCTCCCGTTTAAGTATTCTCATTGGTACTATCTATTTCTGTCTGATGACTTTAACTTTGAATCTCTTGACGGAGATGGGATTGCGCAGAGATGCTGTGTCTTTATATAATTCTCGAAAATAATGCTCCCTCGAGTTCTTCCAGTGAATTAGGTCAAAAGTTCATGCCCTTCGGACTTAATTTTCAAGCCGTCGACTGCGTCTGACTTGGAGCTTAATCTTTAGAGTTGCATTAGCGGGTTACCGATAATTGTGTTGTCACTGGGATAGACAAGGCTTGATAACACGATTATGGCTGGAGCTGGAAGATTCACCTAATGGAAGGTTAATGGCTTTCGAATCACTTCGACGAGGCGTTTGTTATTGTTTCATGGTAATTTTAATTATCTTTAAGATGATAGATTGAGAGGGGATGCTGATGCGTTGGAAAAATGTACATGTAGTATCACGTTAGATGAAAATTTTTAGAGATGAATTTTGATGCAAGGACTTACATATTATTTTTTCTCGTAATTTTCTAGTCCTCAATTGACTTGGAGGGACATTCAGCACTTGACGGTTCTGACGTCCAAGAGGAATTCCTTGTTCGACGCTAAGGGACGATTTCACTGGACTATGAATGGGGTCGGACTAGAGTTCAATCATCTGTTCGGTTATGGCGTCCTGGATGCTGGCGCCATGGTGGCCTTGGCTAGGAATTGGAAAACTGTACCGCCACGATATCACTGCGAAGCTGGTTCTGTTTTGCAAACACAGTAAGTTATTATAAAATGGATAAAAAGGTGTCGGTACTATCCAAAAAAAAAAAAAAAAAAAAAAAAAAAAAAAAAAAATTAACTTTATTCCCATCTCGTCGGTATAAGAATAAATCGCGAGGATGCTTTATTATGAAATCGGAAATTGGCGTCGATCTTCGGGCGAAGAGCGAGCGTTTCCAGAGTCGTAAGATAAATGTATACAGAGATGTGGTCCACTTATTTTGAATCACCCCATGGATATACCGCGTCATGGGAAATTTGAAAGTTAATTATACGTCAATTCGATTCGGACGATGCCTTATGACTTTTTCATTTAAACGAATTTATATAATTCTATAATAAATTTCCCGCGAGGGGGTTCGAGATTAATTGCATTATTATTAGGGGTGAATCTATCTTATCGATCCAAGGATATACCAGAGATTCAGGTCCGTCCTCTTCAACGCGGTTCAATGCATAAGCTCCGTTTATCTTAAAAAGCAAATGCCCGATTGGCTAATAGCACAGTTAAACCGAGTTTATACAGTGAAGCACGTCGAAGAAAGGTCAGTCTTGCTAGGACTCAGTATTTTGACTCGTGTGTCTTACCTTGTCCAATACCAATATACAGTTTTACTGTATTTAAACGAATCTATACTTTTTTAAAAATCTATCCAGTCGCTCTTATCCGTTTGACCCTTTTTGGCAACTAATAATAAAACGGTCAAGGCATCGTCACTGCGATACACGTACCGCCACCTTGGCTTCTCGGATATAGCAAAGGAGACTCGACAACCCCATAGCCTAACCAGTATGAGATAAAATGTCGAAAGATTAAACCAATGTAGGTCACAGTCCATTTTATCCAGGTGTAATGCTTTTCCAGGGAAGTGCCTAGCGACCGGTCCATTCTACTGAAGATCAAGACGGACGCCTGTGCCGGCACGGATTACGCCGTGAACTACTTGGAACACGTTCAGGCGGTCATTTCGGTGAATGCGACGCGTCGCGGCGACGTGGAACTTTTCCTTACGTCTCCCATGGGAACGAGGTAAGTGAATCACTGTGAACTGACGAGAAATAATGTTGATGAAAAAAAGTTAAGTTGAAGCATACATTTAACCATATAATTTAACCTTACAGATCCATGATCCTAAGCAGAAGAGTGAACGATGACGATCATAGAGATGGCTTCACAAAATGGCCGTTCATGACGACTCACACTTGGGGCGAATATCCCCAAGGGGTATGGTTGCTTGAGGTAGGTCAGCTTCGTTTTGTAATATAACAGCCATCTAAAAAGTTCATAAGATAAATTCATCGTCGAACCATACTCCCAAATTTCAATTAATAATCTCGAACGTTAATCAATCACCGATATATAGGTAGCATAGTCTTCTTTCAATTTTGAGGTTAGACGATCTCGTTCAAGACCCTCATCATTATTCAATATTTCTTACCTGACGTCCTTTATCTTGAATTTATCTTTTCACTCAAAGTCTCATGAACTTTTCTCCTTCTCAGGTCAGCTTCAATTCCCAAACTCCTCAGCACGGCTGGATCAAGGAATGGACGCTGATGCTGCACGGTACACGGGAAGCGCCTTACACAGGATTGCCAGCAGCCGATCCCCACTCGAAACTCGCCATCGTCAAGAAGGCCCACGAGGAACGTTCCACTGCAATGTAAACGCCGAATTAATAAAAACAACCAACAGCGACAATTACAACACCCGACACGCGCGCGTTGGCACTGAAATTGGCTGCGTCGATTGTAGTATCCACTTGTCAAGAAATCTTTAAGACCTCCTGCGTTATTATCTATGTATTGTCACAATGGAAGCATCATGTTCTGATTCCTTGTCAGACACTCTGACCAAACTAAAAGATTTTGGCTAATCAACAAGAAGTTTCTTAATTTTAAGTAAAACTCACCACTCTCTTGCTACGGTATTTACAAATCAAGGACGAGTCGACGGTGTAATTTCAGGATTAAAAAATACGTCCGCCCTTCTTACCTGAATCCGTTTACGATGCCCTCAATCAATATGGAATCTTTAAACTCTATATACCCTATATACCCTATTAATTAAATTTCCTCTGTCGTGCTCTACCGCGAAACAGTATCCTCGTTAAGAAAGTTATCTCGATAGTTCTCTGCTAGTTCGATGATCCTAACGTCACGTGCTCTCGTGCAGAAGACAAATACGTTCGAAGTTAGTCAACACTGATTCGACGTTTCTATTTTATCGGAATCTTAAGTAAAACCGCCCTTAATACGTCACACGAGTAACTATCAGTATTAAGGCGATAGCCAATTTCATTACCTTTATCTTATTTATGTTTAGTCCTCTAATGCCGTTACGATTATCTTATATGATATCAGGGGAATGACGATGGTTTTATCAAGAAAACCGGGGTGCATGTGTCAGAGGTTGGACTCCCGGTTTTGTCACGGACCTTCCTGAAGAATAGAAATTTACAGCCACTCTATAGTACATGATTATTATTATTGTTGTTGTTATTATATAGACAGGGAACACGAAGCAGACCGAGAATATTTACACATATATATATATTATATATGTATGAATAAATATATACACGCAACCACACAAGGCCGATCGATTATTCTATGGAAATTACCAGTCATCCGGTTATAGAAATCATACCTATAATAACTTATTATAGAGGATCAGAATTCGAACCAAAACTGCTTCTCAGTACGAGGGAGATGGGACGGAGTTATTATTATAATACACACCTAAATACATTAAAAGAAGGTCCAATAGAAGACGAAGATAAAAAAGGAAATATATATATATATAATATAATGAAAAATATAATAAGAAAATAAGGAAAAACTTATGACGTAATTATCGTGTCGAGCGTATTTGTTATGTTGAGGTGAGCGCGAGTGCTCGAACGTAAAATGTTGAGACAGATAAAAGTTTATTTTCATCGAGTGAAACGAAGCTTATGGGATAAAAAAGAGAAGATGAGATATGGAAGAATAGCAGAGATACGTCGAGTTGGATGCGAGAGAAATTGCGTAACTTGTGTAGATACTCTAGAGATGTAGCGATCAAGATTTGAAATTAAATATATATATATATATATACGTATATATATATATATACATATACATATATATATATATACCTATACAGTTGAACTGAATTTAATCAACCTTATTCTGTACGATGTACGTGGGTGAATAAAATCTTTATTTTTGTTTTGCCTGCATCGTTTTTATATGGTGTACCTTCATTCATTCACAAATAGATTTTCTCTTAATCCCTTTTGATTATCAAAGTTTTCATGTTCGTCGTTATCGCTAATACGCGTATCTCTAATCGATTGATCGTAACCGTGAGAAGTGAACTGTTGACGAAAAGAAAAAAAAAATCCAAAATACGATCTCTTACAAAATAAGGTTGACTAAGGGGAGACCAAAAAATTGTAATCGATACGTCAACGTTAATATAGGGAGAAACAAAGATACATATGTTACATATTCGAGCTGCGTAAATCCTATATGCCCAGAATCGCTTTGCGTGCGCGTACGTAGATTTAGTTTGTATCGATACCAACATTGTAATTTTTCGATATAAGCAGGAAAGAGAAAACTCTCGAGCTTTTTGATTGTCAGGCAGAAAATAATGAAGAAATTAATAAAATTGACAGCGAGAATAAAATAAATATTTTAACAGGGAAGCTAAACCGGTTTTTGGAGAAAGGAGGGGAGGAGGTTGGGCAATGAAAATTTTCCCTCTTAGGGTTGGATATTATTTAAATTGGCAATTTAACGCTACCCGAACCCGTTATGGGGTGCGGATATAAGAAACCGGGTAAAAGTTTAGGGGTTAAAAAAGATATAACCTGGCTGAGAGTTTTTTCAGTGTTTTATTCAATGTATATCACAGTGATGCCGGTGAAATATACTAATTTGACGAAGCGTTCGAATCTGCGAAGACAGAGACGGCGGGAAAGGGGTAGGATGGAACTAAGGGCGAGAGATAAATCGAATATTCAATTCTCGGGTAATCTCGGAATGGGAATAGTATAGGGGTAGTAGTCTCGAATATCGTTAACTAGTCGGCGCCTAGTCTCCATTAAAGTTTCCATTGTGTATATTGAACATTTGATTGATATCTGTACCAACCTATATCAGACTTATCGTACGTTAATTTTAATGGCAATGTTATTATCATTACTATTTACCATCGCAAGATAATAGCGTCCACCGACAAATACCTATATAGCTGATAGAAGTTTTACGAAATTATTACACTATTTAAGGAGGACTTGGTGTATTTTCAAGGATTTTTAACAAAAAAATTCTTTGACTCCTCGTCTAGTCCTATCTTATTCATCCTGCGAGTAGTTTAGATTGACTGTTGGCCTTCCGAGGGGTTGATAGGTGGGGGTGGGAGTTAACACGTTTGGGTGGAAGCAAGAGAGAGATGCCGGAATTTGGTGAATAGAGGAAGAAAAGGAGGAAGATGTCATGTTATCGTAGGATTATAGTGAAGCTTCGAATTTCTATGTTAAATTGTACCTGTCAAGTCCTTTGATTCCAATTCCAATACGTCTGTCTAGTTATTCTACATCTACTACGAGTGTCCTTAGATTAAGGGAACGATGTATGGGAACATAGCTTAACATATTATTGCATACTTACATGACATTAAAGCCATTGAGTCATGTGATTTCGAATTTGATTTTTTTTTTTTTTTTCGACTGTGATACTTGGAATAAATTATTTATTCATCTCTATGGAAGATTACGCGATTTTGAGTTTGATCCTAGAAAAAAATTTTGTCCATTAGAGTAAATTTCACCAGTAAAACAATACCTTTAGAAACGCTTCCAGTGAATGGTTACTCGTGTTAAAATTACTATATATAGATATAATTTATGTAAATGCGTCCACTTACTGAGGCCTGTCCATTCAATTGTGGAATCACCCTAATTCATTCTAACAATTTTTTTTGTCGAACAATTTTGGTATAGTTTTTGGTCGACATTTTTTTTTATCAAATGTTTTCTTTTTTACTGATAAAACCTTAGTCGTTTTTTTATGTATGTCTTTTCAGTGACTTTCATTCATACGAAAAACTAAATCTGGCATGAATCCGAGACTCGTATTATTTGCTTCGATGGGTTTTCTTTCATTAAGGACTTTCGACTTCGCACGCTCGAACGAAGCTCTTATGATGGCGAACGGATCGATCGCACATAAGACGCGAGTGATCGATCGGCCGATCGAGAGTCTGAATTGGCCTTGACCGATTAGTCACGGGGTAGAAAAATTGAAGAAATTGAAGACTATAAATCTCACGCTGGGAATAATCCCGGGCTTGTTCTGGAGCCATGGACAGAGGGTCGACACTTGGGGTGAAAAAATAGCGTGCGAAGTTGCACAAATGTGAGCCAAAGTTACCCTTACTCTCCCCTCCGGTACCCATTGCCCTTTCACCCATAGGATGCCAACGAACCCCTCGACTCTGAGAACACTGGACCACCTACCCCCTTTGGGTAATTAAATCGCAACGTGAAAGAAAAAAAAGGTGTTCAGGAAAAAAAACAGAAAAGATTTATCGCTCGTCGAAATTGTACAACTGGAACTCACCGTGGGATATCGAACCACCCTTTTTTTCTAGGCCCGCGACAACAGCGCCCTCTAGGGGAAGAAGATTCAGTTAAAGAAATTCAACGTACAATAAAAGTTGGTAGAATACAATATTTTCAAAAATTGAGAAACAGCACGCCATTCATTTCCGAGCCAACGCACGTCATTATTTTTTTTTAAAAATAACGATAAAAAATTACGCCCCCCCCCCCCCC